TGAGCAAGGGCACCACACATTGGGCTGCATGTGCAATTTCCATCCCCAGCACAGTTCCCCTTTGTTGGGGACCTCATTAGGGAAGCCTGTGGGCTGGCTGGGGAAAGAAGTTAATGAGCATCACGGGAGGAGGCATCCAGTCCGCAGGGTGACTCAGACCTTCTCTGACGGGGCCCTCTGAAGGGTGGTCACATGGGCTATGAGAGTGACTCATTGAGAAAGCCTTCTGCCTGGTTCTGCCCCAAATGTCCCTCATTCGTCTTCCAGCCTTGCTCTTCCAATGAACAGAGGGTGGGAAGCACTAACTCGGATTACAGCTGGAGAAAAGCTGGGGGGAATTACAGCCCCTCACAGGGCTGGCTCCAAAGACAGTGGGTAGAACGCAGAACGGAAATCATGCCCAGAAGAGGGACTGGCTGAGGTCAGGATCTGTACCAAGCTGGGGAGATTAATGGTTTGTCTCCAATTGCCTGGGGAGTTTGTCAGGTTCCTCTTTCAGTAGCTCATACACAGTACATCTAAAGTAGAAAGTTGGACTGATCCCCCGCCGCAACCTAGTTTTGCCATTCAAAATACTTCTTTTCTCCCAGGACACCACCATTTCCAATTACTTTTTCGTGTCTCTTAGAGTTAAAACTTTGGAGTCGTCTTAGACTCATCTCTCTCCTCTAAGCCTAAATTTATCTTTTCCTTCAACTCTGTCTGAGCATTTCTATCACCCTCCTGCATGTTTGCTGACACCACAATGGTCTATACTTGGTTCACCTTAAGACATCTGTGCATTACTTGCAGTAAATTGCCTCTGGACTTGGGGGTCTCCAGAGTGGGGTGCATGGGACAATCCATTGGGGTGCACAAAGAACCTACTAGAACTTCCATGAATATGCATTTTAAAGTAAAAATAAGAATGTTATAAAACAAATATTAATATTAGATATATAATCTCACTTTAAGTGGTCACATGTCATGTGACAATGTTACACAAGGTATTCCCAGGGGCCAGTAGTGGCATTCTCTCCCTTTAGAACATTTTCAGAATATTTTGATGTATTTGCACAAACAAGGTTAAATGGATTTATAGATTACATAATCTAGTTTAACTAAAACTCCAAGAGCAGACAAATGATTTCAAAGAATTCAAAAGATTCTTGAAAAGATAATTCCCCCAAACCACCAAACAAGAAAATGAGAGATGTGTTTCTTACTTCAAAGAGAAGCTCTTCACTGGCTTCAATAAAAGGTTGTTAGATATGGTAAGAACAGTTAGCAATCATCAAAACAATTTGAAACACGAATTTACATTTCCTATCATTAGTGATTAACCTCATTTTAAGTGGATATTGTGCCTTGATAGATTAACTGATGATGATAGCTTATGAACATAATTTATACGTAAATAAATATATAAATATTTGGAGGGTATTTAAAAATATTTAGTGATTGAGTCCATGATAAAAAAAAAAAGTCTGGATTCTAGACCAGTGATTCTTAAATTTAGGGGGATTGTGAAGTTCTTTGAGAATCTGATGAAAGCAGGATTCCTCTTCCAGGAAAAAAAAAGAGAGACATACAAACAGGAAATTTGAGTACAATTTTAAAGGGTGATGCTTTGAAATTCATCCATGGGCCATTTGATTCCCATTCTATACTGTCCCCATTCAAGTCTTTCTACCTACCAAAGCCAGAATAATCTTCCAAAATATACTTTCATCAAGTCACACACTGCAAACTTCAGGACGCCTCCATAGCGGTGATTGTAGCGGTTCTGGAGAGCAATAGGTGTGAAATGTGTCACTGGTAATTCATGATTAGCGAGACTTAAAATGCTGAAGTCTGTGAAATTATATGCTATAAGTGTTATCACCATAATAATTTCATCCTCCTTCAGTGCTACTCAGTGGCAAGAATTTTGCACAAGCAAGGTGCCTTGGTAGGAGGATGTCATACTCAGGATAATTACATGCCGTATGTGTCTCCAGGGAGAAAAGCTAAGGGTGGCTGTCCTCCTGCACACAGTGCCAGCTCCATGGCCAACCCCTTCAAGCGGCTCTCTCAGGAGAGCATTCCTGAGATCCGGGGCCAAGATTGCCTTTTCATCCCCAGGAGAGCCTTGTTCAGGGTCCTGGACCCATGGTTGCTTAGAAAATGTTTGTAGCTTGACTGAATAAAGAGCCCTTTCCTAAGATGCTCTACATAATAGGATGTGGAGACTGATTTTCTTTTTATTCGCAGAAGAGAAGTGCTGCAAATACTTATTGACTAGCAATGGAATCCATTTTCTCCTTGCATGAGATTTAGTAACTATTAATTCAATTGGTTTTAAAAACAAGTGTCAGAGAACTTTTAGCTTCTAGCAATGGAGATGAAGCTTATATCAAACTAAGCTTCCTGCCAATAACAACTATAAACCTCAAACAAAATATGAAAAATAGCCATTTGCAGGCACTGGAGAATAATCAAAGGCAGATACAGACTGGAGTGGATACAACCTTTGAAGTAAGGGAAGTAAAAGTGGTGATGTCTACTTCCCCAGAGGACATTCTCCAGTCTTCAAGGCACACTAGGACTAGGACTCAAGACTTATGGGACCAAGGGGTTAGATGTTAGGGTCTGGGGTTGCAAGTACAGCTGGAAATTTAGTGAGGAAATCCCACAAAAGGAGGATGCATAGAGCACTGAGCCTTAGTATCTGCATACTAACTTATCCAGTATCCATGGCTGAGTCCTGAATGATGTATATGTGGGGTGAGACTCCAAGAAACCAAGAGCTGGAAGCCTGAAAGAGTGGAGTAGAGATTTCAGTAGCTGCATAGTGCTGGGGAGATAAAGTTAGGAATTCAAGTCCAACCAAGTTAGAGGAGCTTGGCAAACACCTTGAGTCTTTCACTGAAAACCCAGAAGGACCAAGCCTTAACAGTAAGATCACATTTGAGGACTAAAGGCATTGATGAGAAAATCAAAGTAGACACACCATATCAAAGCCTAGAACCAGGTCTCAACAAATCAAGGTGATATGCAGGATCAAAGTAATTTAACTCTCTGCTAGAACCAAATTTAACACTCTCCAAAAGAAGATAATAGAATCGAGTCTCTGAAATGTATTGCCCATGATGTCCAGTATACAATAAAGAATTACTAGACATAAGAAGAATCAAGAAAATGAGACTCATAGTCAAGAGGAAAAATAATCAACTGGAAGATTCCCAGGTGACCCCAATGTTGAAATTAGCAGACGAAAAGTATAAAATAAACTGTGAGAATGAGGGAAGTAACAGATGAAGAAATAGGGAATTTCAGGAGAGATTTGAGAAGTCTAAAAAATGAACTAAATGGAAACTGTAGAACAGAAAAGTACAATATTTGCAATTAAAAATTCATTGATAGTATTAACAGCAGATTGGATAATGTAGAAGAAAAGATCAGTGAACTTGAGGAATGGTCAATAAAATTACCCAAATGAAGGGGAGGGAGGAAAAACATTAAAATAAAAAAACAAAGATTCCAGGGATTCAGGCTACCACAGTGGTCCACTGATTTTTGACAAGGCACCAAGATAATTCAATGGAGAAAGGAAAGTCATTTTTTATAGTATATGGAGCTGGAACAAGTGGATATCTATAGAGAAAATAAAGTTTGATCTTTACCTCATACCATTAACAATAATTAAATCCTAATAGATTTTAGACTTAAAAGTGAAAACTGTAAAATTTCTAGAAGACCATGCAGGAGACTATCTTTGAGACCTTGGAGCAGGCAAGGTGCTCAACACCCTTATTATGAGGGATATGCAAAACAAAACTAAGATAAGATACCACGTCACACCCATTGGAATGTTTACAATTGGGGAGACTGACAAGACCAAATGTGGGCGAGGATGTTGACCCAGTGGAACGCTCCTCCACTGCTGGTGGGAGTGTAAAATTGTGCAGCCACTGTGGAATGCTGTTGGGAGTTTCTTAAAAGCATAACCTATCTTGTGATCCAGTCACTCAACTCCTAGGTATTTACCCAGGAGAAATGAGAACGTATCTATAAAAAGACATATACAAGAATGTTCATAATAGCCCAAAGCTAAAAGCAACCCAATGTCATCAACAGGTGAGTAGATAAGCAAAGTGCAATTCTAGATGTAATACTATGAGGCAATAAAAACAAACCCTTTAGACAGGCAACAGCTCAGATGAATCTCCAAAACCTTATGTTGAGTGAAGGAAGCCAGGCACGAAAACATGTATACCAAATGATTCCATCTATGTGAAAATCTAGAACAGTCAACACTAAGCTATGGTGATAGAAATCAGAATAGTGGTTGCCTTTGAAGGTGAGCAGGTTGATTACAAAGTGGCATAAGGAAACTTTTTGGGGGTGATGGAAATGTTCCATATCTTCAGTGAGTTGGGTGCTACTTGGACCAACCATCCCAGTTTATCCAAGGGGCTTCCTGAGATGTGGGACTTTCAGTTTTAAAACAGGGATAGTCCCAGGAAAACTGGAACCAGTCGGTAACCTACATTACTTGCATGTACACATTTGTTAAAACTCAAATAATTTTTGTATGCACATCTACATGCATGTATAAGTGCGTGCACACTTAAAATGTGTGTATCCTATCATGTGCAAATTATACTTCAATAAAAAAAAGAGTATTGGGGCCAGTCAGGTGGTGTAGTGGTTAAGTTCGTGCACTCTGCTTCTGTGGCCAAGGGTTCACGGGTTTGGATCCTGGGCGCAGACCTACACACCACTCATCAAGCTGTGCTGTGGTGGCATCCCACATACAAAATAGAGGAATATTGACCCAGATGTTAGCTCAGCAACAATCTTCCTCAAGCAAAAAGAGGAAGATTGGCAACAGATGTTAGCTCAGGGCCAACCTTCTTCACCAAAAAAAAAAAAAAAAAAAAAATAGAGTATTAAAACAAATGACGGTGGGAAAACAACCAAACCAATGTAAACATAAGCAAGCAATGGAAGAGAGCATTTGCCCTTTAGGCATCAAATTAAACTCATGGCTTTAATGTAACGACTTTTGAAAGGACCATAACTTAAGAGGCTGCCTAACACATCACTTACTACACTTCACTTCCTCCGGGATGTGGAGACGCTGGATAAACAGATGCTCTGACGGGATATTTGGTGTTCAGCATATTTGACACCCATCTGCTGGGAGAGTTTAGGAGGTTGGAGTAGTTCCATCTATTTCCCTCTACCGTTTGCTGTGCGCTCTCAGATACCCACGGCGCACTGTTTTCCTGCAGAAGGGCCACGGGGAACTTCGGGACGTGAAGATAAGCAGGAGATTCGCCCACAGTCCAGGCCGGCTCATTGTGCCTGTTGTGAAAGGCATCATGAAGCTGACTTCTTTTATTCTTTGTGCCACTTAATCATATTTCCTGTGGTCCTTTCTCCCTGTATGCTTTTCTACACTCGTGGTCCTTGAGCATCGCTAACCTGGAGGGCAGAGCCAGGGTCTTCCGGGCTCTGATTGGGTTTGCCCTGTTCTCCATCCGGTACCATGCGCACGGGTGATCTTAAGTCATAGGCTGGTTCCTTTGCGGTCTTTAGCAGTTCACACACATCTGTACATCCGGTGAGGCACTTTGCATAGCAAGTCACTGTGCATCTCCACTCCTGACATGTACCAGTCGGCCAAGGCAGCCACCCCTTGAGGAATCACTGTATTTAAGAGTGAAACACCATCCTTATCAATCACTCAACCCCAATCCTCCAAAGCAGAAATTGAGCGCAGCTGTCTCAGATCTTTTTCATTATTATGGGAAGATGCTTGCCACATTTTTGGCAGTGGCTTTTGAAAGCACTCTGTGTTCTCAATTTGCCAGTTTTTAAATAGCACACACATTTCACCAAGTTTTTATTCTGCTGAATAATGCTCTGAAGACTTTCTCGTAAGAACACCCCTGGGACCTTCTCTATGTTAAGACGGTACCGAGCAATTGAAAACATTCTGCAGGCGCCTGAGCTCTGCCTAGTTTAACTCTCAGCCATAGCAGCGGTCCAGGGATCTGGGCCAAGACTGAGCACTGGGTGCCAGCATGCAACCTATTTTAGGAGCATAATAGAAAAGTAATTTGCCACTCACTCTTTTGCATCCTGTGCTCAAGTTGAATTCTTTATATCCGCATCCCCAGACAAAGAATGGTTTATAAAATTTGCTCCAAGCAGTTTAGAAAACTCAGCTTGGCACTCAAGCAGAACAAAGATTATATGGTTTTTTTCCCTAGGAAACATTTTCTTCCTCAGAGTAAAATGTAGTCACAAGGCAAGATAGGATCGTTGGAACCATCAAAGGAAATAACAGCCCTGTGAAGTGCCGGGCAGAGTCCAGCACACTGTAAATGCACCACAGGGCACCTGCTGTATGCAGTGTGTGGCAGAGGAGAGACGAGGATGAGCGAGACCCACTTCCTGTCTTCAGTGGGTCTCAAGGCGGCAAAGGGAGTGATGAGTCAAGGACATAACTGCTCCGCTCCAGTGGAGCATCTTGCTGGGAAAATCAGGAAGGAACACTTACTTTCTGCATGGAAATGATTTATTCCCACAGGAAGAAGCTGTAGCAGAGGAGAGCCCAGGCAGGGAAGCCAGGAACCACAGCCTGACCTTTATATGGGCCTCTGGGCCCACAATTCCAATTCCTTAAGGGCCAGGTGTTAAAGTGGGAAGGGTATTGGAACATTTTGGCACCCCAAAATAGCCCTTTTGGCATGAGGATTATTGGGAGAAACAGCAAACACAGGAAAAGCTCAGAAAACAGAGCAGAAGTTGCCCTTTTGTAAGCGAAATTTACCTGTATAAAGGATGTCTCCGTATGAAGGGTATCTCCTTTCTGTACCAGGATGAGAAGAGGCTTGCAAGTCACAGGAACTCTTACAGTGCAGAAGGCACCACTTAAGTCTGTGGAACAGCCTTACCCTTGTTCACCGAGCTTTTCCTGGGAACCTCCCATCACTGGCTCCCCCACCTTTCTGTCTTTTGCCTTTAGCTGAAGATGGTATTTAAGCTGGTGGCTTAGACCACCTGGGGAGTTACTCAGTTTTCCCTGGGTCTCCCAGGTAGACAGGAGGTAGGCGTTAATAAACTTCTGTTTGCTTTTCTCTTGTTGCTCTATTATTACAGGGGTCTCAGCTAAGAACTCGGAGGGGTAGAGGGAAAATTATTTTTTCTCCCCTACAACCGTCTCTGTCCTCTCCAGGAATCCCAGTCCTGTCACTCTAAGGAGGGGACTCAGGATCCTTGCTCAGTGCCAGACATTAGCTCTTGACCAAAGCCGCTGGCTGTCCTGGTGGGGACAAGAATAAGACACTGCCCCCAAGGAGAAGGAGGGCCTCTGGCCTTGGGGAGGAGAGAGGGGGTGGGATGGGCCAGGGAAGATCCCAGGAAAGAGGGACGGGCCTCCAGAACAAGCCCAGATAAGGGACAAAGACCTGTCAGTGCCCGGCTGAGAGAGGAGAACAAAGAAGAGAACATCCTGGCCGCACATCCCTGGGTATGCTTGCGTGCACACTCGTGTGTGCATGCTCCTGTGTGTGTGCATGTGCGTGTGTAGGGCCCATCATTAACTTTCTGCTTCCCAATCTTGGGCAAGACCTTGCTTTTGTCTTTCTCAGTGTTTGACGAATGGATTGTGGGGAAAACCATCAAAATGCAGTATACTCAAATTATCTCAGTTCCTAAAGGAAAAGTGTCTTTCATTCATTCATTCATTCCTTCACAGAGCCTTTTAATTCTGTGCTTCAGGTGGGGAGCCTGACTTTTTTGTTTTTGTTTTTTCATTTACCCACCACTCCTCTGGGAACAAGGGCAAGCGGCGTCCTCCTTTGGCAGAGTCCATGGTTAAGCGGTCTTGTCGGGCATACATGGAAGACCTGTTTCTCCCTCTCGATTATAGCATTTCTTGTGCTTATTACGGCTTCCACAGCTGCCGTCCTGGCATAAAGAATCTTCTGCTGGGGAATCTTACCCAAGCCTCTGCTCCCGGTTCTTCCTCCCGGGAAGGCATCTTCCACATCCTGTGTGTTCTGGGCGGGATAACCGACAACTCAGGCCACAGTCCTTAGGGAGAAGAATCCTTCACAGCAAACCTGGAGAGGAAGGGAAACAAATGGAAGGAGATGAGATATCTGCCTTCACTTGCCTGACTTTGAAATCAGCATTTCTTCCAGTGCGTCCCCTGCATTTCTGGGTGTGGGGTGTGGGCGCCGAGTGCTTCTCATGGTTCTAACTCCCAGGGTCTTACCCGTGTACTGTCATTGCAACATTTATTGTATCTCCAGTGTGAATAATTTAATGTTTATATTTTTATTTAACTTGATTATACGATTATTTAACTTTGTGAAGTTTTCTTTGGCCTGCTCAATACACGGTAAGCTCCCTGAGGGCATTTCTACATGGCCCCATTGATTTCTGGCAAGTTTCTGCGGGCATGAGAAGGTTTTTGATAAATACTTAAGGAGGGATAGGTAAATTTTGAGATCTATTGTGCGAGACAAATGATGTGCCCTCTCCATGCTGTGTTGGTCAGACTGCTCCTGGGAGTTTAGTCTAGTTCTGGGAGTAAATTTAAGTGGGACACCGACAACGTGTCCAGAAGGGCAGCTGCAGGGGTTAGGTGACGTGAGGAAGCTGAGCAGAGTGGACCATTAGGCTTATGGGGGCCGGGTGGCACACATGGGTGCAGGTCACCAATGCAGTGGGAGGAAGGACTCTCTCAGCGTTAGCCCCTAAGGGATGAATGGGACACCTGGGCAGGCACAGAGAGCCTGGGGAAGGGACAGCTGTCAGAGAGAGCCTGGAGGAGGGGATGATATCTGGTCAGGAGATTTCCCCTTTCGTGCATTTCCTGACCACTAGTTCCAGGGCATCTAACAGGTGGTTCATGAAAATCCGTCTAGGCTCCAGTAGATTTGGGAAATGCTGGTTTAAACAGAGTGGAACAGGTTGCACCACTGCGGACTTCTTGGGGTCTTCCATATGCAAATGTGCATTGACTCTCCAAGAAGGGGTTGCCGGGAATGGTCATCCCCAGTGCATCTGGCCCTAGAATCCTTGTCCTGGAAACACATCACACAGGTCTAGAATTCACAGAGCCTGGTTAGGAGATAACAAAATGCAGGGTCTGCCTGACAAGACGTTGGCGAAGGGTCCTTCCAGTGGTAAGAGTGACTCAGCCACTGAACTGCGTGCCCCACTTGGAGGTTCCTGTGGCTGTCTTAGTCTGTTTAGGCTGCTATAACAGAATACTATAGACTGGGGGGTTTATAAACAACGGAAACATTTCTCACAGTTTGGGGGCTGGGAAGTCCAAGGTTAAGGCACTGGCAGATTTGGTGTCTGGTGGAAGCCCACTTCCTGGTTCACAGATGGCATCTTGCTGTGTCCTGACATGGCGGAGGGGGCGGCAGAGCTCTCTGGGGTCTCCTTTATAAGGGCACTAATCCCATTCATGAGGCTCCACCATTATGACCTATTCACCCCAAAGGCCCCACCTCCTGATACCATCACCTTGGGGGTTAGGTTTCAACATGTGAATTTTGCAGGAACACAAACATTCAGTCTACAACAGCGGCTTTCTGAGCAGCCACAGGCATCTTCCCTCTCCCGAATTAGAATGCATTTTAGGTACATTTGCTCTGATAAGTTGAAACAATGTAAGACCAGATCGGTTGTGGTGTTCTGGAGTTTGTAAGCCATGCATGGCCGTTTAATGATACTTAGTAAAGTAACAGCCATCCCTCTGCAAGGTAGCTGGCCTGCTCCTGAGGACTCCTTTCTGCTCAGAGTTTCTTCCTTCCCCCGACCCCCATCCACCTCCTCCAGCTTCTCAACAGTTGACGGGCCATGGTGACGGTACGTGAATTAGGGATGGAGGTGGAGTGACTGACAGCCAGGCAGGGCTAGTCCCTTGTCAATAAGAGACCTGTGGGCTGCTGTGAGCACAGAGCAGCAGACAAGAGATGCAGAGATGCAGAGAGGACCTCCTGGGGGGTGACAGCTCTTCACTGACTGGTTCTAGGCCCGCTGCCCTTGGCTTTCACGAGCAACCTCAGTCGATGTCTAATAAAATCCTTTTTACTCCAGTTAGCTTGACTTGGTTTTGGTAACTTGCAGCCAAAAGAATGTTTTCAAAATACGCTGTTGATTGTGGCCACTCCGGGCTCTGTGCTTGGTCTCGTGCACACTGCTCTTCTAGTACTCATGACCTCCCGTGGCATAGGCCCAGCTTTATTCATCTTTTACAGATGGAGGAACTGAGGCTCAGGGAGGTCAGTGACCTGCCCCGGGTCACACAAAAAACAAAGGGCAGAGCGAGCTCCAAACCCAAGTCTGTCAGACACCAAGGCCATCCCCCGAGCCTCTCTCTGTCCTTGCCTACCTGCACTTGCCTCTCTGCAGTCAGGGAGGGTGAGGCAGGGGTCAGGTGGGTCCTAGATCGGCATCTACAGGGAGCAGGTGTTAGGGGTTCCACTGCTAGGGTGCGAGGTGAGAGCCCCATTGCTCCAAGGGGTCACCCAGACCCTATCCTATTGGCAGAGGGGGTGGAGGGAGCTGGGAGGCAGCGAGGAGCCTGCACAGTGGGTGGGTGGGGAGATGATCCCCAGGAGAGGGCCCCCCTGGTGCCTGGTGCTTCCCTCACCCTTGGGGCTTTGTGGCACCAGCTCAGCCCTCTCCTTCCCCGGCTGCAGCTTCCCTAGCCCCTGCCCAGCCAGCAGGGGCAAAGCCCCACAGTGTCTGTTCTTCAGCTGTAAGGAGGGGTGGTTGTTTCACTGTCGGGGGATTCTGGCCACACAGCAGATCTCATGGGAGCTGGACTGAAGCGAGTCAGCACCTGCTTCCGCTCTGGGGACCAAACGATAATCCGCCACCTCTCTAGAGTGGCATTGCTGTCACAACTCCACTGTCCTTTTGCTCCTTCTTTCTGTCTGCCTTCTTGGTTTCTGCTCTTGTGGCCAAATGCTTAACCAGAGAATGTAATTGTCCTAGTTAGTCATTTGGAACAAACAAGTGGCATAGCGAGAGTGCATTTGTGTTACAACCACTGTCTCTGTTGGGTAAACTTTGTGCACAGCGCCCGTCAGCTGGGGCCTGGGGGGTGGGGGGAGTCTAACTGGGGCCAGCATCATCAGCCTGTGACCTGTGCTGTCATGTGGGGCCGTGCTCAGAGGACGCCGGGCTTGGTCTGATGTTCTGTGTTGGCCTATTATCCTCCCAAAGGGCGCGGATTTGGTTAAGTTCTGTATTAGTTTCTTGGAGCTGATGTAACAAATGACCGCAGAACGGGTGGTTTGAAACGACAGAAATTTATCATCTCACAGTTGTGGAGGCCTGGAAATCAAGGTGTCGGCAGCGCTGGCTCCTTCTGGCAGCACTGAGGGAGAATCTGTTCTGTGCCCCTCTCCAGCTTCTGGTGGTTGCGGGCAACCCTTGGCGTTCCTTGGACACGAATTTTGGGGAACCCTCTTCAACCCAGTACAAGCGCCTAGAGTCTAAAGGCATGCTCTTGGTTCAGGAACCCCCAGAGGCCCAAGCCTGGGGCAAACGCCCAATCTGCTTTTCATGCGGGAGACAGCTCTACACAAAAGCACGTTGGCTGGCTGTCTCATGAATATTATGACCCAAGGTGTTATGGGTTGAATTGTGTCCCTTCCAGAATTCGTATTTTGGAGTCCTAAGCCCCAGTGTCTCAGCATGTGACCGTATTTGGAGACAGGGTCTTTACAGAGGTAATCAAGTTAGAGTGAGCTTGTTACGGTGGGTCCTAATCCAATGTGACAGGTTAGGGTTAGGGTGAGGGCTAGGGCTAGGGTTAGGGTTAGGCCTAGGGTTAGGGTTAAGGTTAGGGCTAGGGCTAGGGTTAGGGTTAGTCTTAGGCTGAGGGCGAGCGTGTCTGTGAGGGTGAGGGTAAGGGTTAGTGTTAGGTTTCGACTTCGGGTTAGGGCTGGGGTTTTGGTTAGGGTGAGGGTGCTGTTCTGGGTTTCGGTTATGGTTAGGGGCCTTTGTAGGTTTAGTGTTAGGGCTTATGAAAAGACGAAGTAGGGACACAGACACACCCTCTCAGTGAGAACTCCCTGTTAATTTGGAAGCAGAGGTGGAACTGATGCTCTATGAACCAAACAATGCCAAAGATTGCAGCAAACCTCCAGAAGCAGGAGAGTGGCCTCCCCCAGATTCTCCTTCACAGCCTCGGAAGGAACCAGCCCTGCTGACACCTGGATCTTGGACTTGCAGCCTCCAGAACAGTGAGGCAACAAATTTGCCTTCTTGAAGCCACCTAGTCCCTGGTGTTTGTTTCAGCAGCACTGGTAAACTAATACACAAGGGTTGGGAGGGGGAAAGCCCTCTTTCTCCACTGTTTATGGGAGAGGGCTTTTCCACGTGCCTGGATCTTCCTTTGGTCCTGCCTGGCTCCCTCTGAACCGTGAACATCTTGGTTGAGTCCCCTCCCCTCTCCCCTACACTTACCCTGGGGAGAACGCGAGCACAGCAGCCTGCGGCCTCTTCCTTTGGTTGCTCCACCCAAGGCTCTCAGGAGTGGAAGGTGGCCCCTCCAAGGAGCCTCCAGGTTTGGGAGGGTGGGGGGTGGTTGCTGGAGTGGGTCTCTTCCAGAGCCTCTTTCTTAGGGAGGTCAATCAAGGAATCGCAACAAAGGCTGAGGAACCATGAAAAAGGAAAAGGAAGGGAAACCTAACAGCCTGGGCTCAGATGCCCCTCAGATTTAAGTATCTCGGGTCTCTGATGTTTATTTGAACCGAGCTGAATTCCGGCCAGCTCCCCCCACCTTCCTGTGCTCTTGGCTTTGAGTTTGCACAAGGGCTCCTTGTGTGTGCCATGGCGGACTGGGCACAAGGGTGAGTCACTGTACTGTCAGATGAAGTATAGCTAGAAGCCACCGCTGAACTAAAGGACTGAGTCATTTCCTCGAATCTCCCCTCTGGGTTCTAGGTGCTTTCGGAGTGTGAGACCACAGCTGAGTCAAAGGCTGCATTGTTCTCTAGCTCGTTGATACATAGTTGCAGCTTGCCCTTGAGCACGTTCACCTGTAGTGGCAGTTTGCCCCCCAGAAAACTCTGCTGCTGGACTTTCTCAGTAGCAGTTTCTGGAAGTGTCTCTGCTCCTTTGCCAAACGGTGGGTATTGAGATTCTTTGCTGATCTGATCTCTGTGTTGTTGAATCAGCATCTGTATACACTGGTGAGGTCAGAGATTTTTGCTTGTGCTTACTGCACATTTATGGTTCATTTTTAGTGAATTGCCTGGTTGTGAGCTTTGTTCATTTTTCAAGGATGGGTCAGCATTTTTGTAGATGAAAGATTTTTTGAGGGGGGAAGGTTAGCCCTGGGCTAACATCCACTGCCAATCCTCCTCTTTTTTTGCTAAGGAAGACTGGCCCTGAGCTAACATCCGTGCCCGTCTTCCTCTACTTTATATGTGGGACGACTGCCATAGCATGGCTTGATAAGTGGTGCATAGGTCTGCAACCAGGATCTGAACAAGTGAACCTCGAGCCACTGAAGTGGAGCCTGCGAACTTAACCACTGTGCCACCTGGCCGGCCCCTATAGATGAAAGATTTTAAAGCAACATCTATAATGCAGTTATTTCCTCCGGGTTTTGTGTGTATTGTGGTTTTGCGTGTGCAGTTTTTATTGTTAGACAGGTGGACTTAGTTTGCAGGTAGGCATTATTTCCCTTTATGGTTTGGCTTCTGCATTTGAGTGTTTTGTGTAGTGGTTAAGAAAGATGTGGATTTGAATCCTGGTTCAACAGCTGCATAACGTTGGGGGATGCGCTTAATGTCTTGGAGCCCCAAATTTTCTCACTGATAAAATGGGGACATCCATATCTACCTGCCCCTGGTTGTTGTGAAGACCCATCGTTGTGATTTATATAAACACTGAGCACGGTGCCTAGGAAGCACTTAGTAAACAATATCTTTCCTATTCCCTTATTTTAAGTCAACAAGTGTAGTTGCAGCTCATCAGCTACCCTTTAGGTACCTTGAGAAATAGAAGAAAATTTCAAGACCCAGGTCCTGTCCTTGAAGGAAAGAAAAGAGGAAAACTAACTTGTCAGGGAGCTTGCTCTGGAGCGAGGTGACCAGCGATGCTGGAAGGAAGTATTAGAGTAGGTTGTTGGAGGAATTAATCAGATGAAGGTCCCAAGAACCATTAAGACGTTGCCCAAGTAAATGATGCAGCAGAGGTGGGGGCCCAGGTCTGTCTGATCCCAAACCCTGTGCATCTCTAGTTGCATTCTGTTGCTGATGATTTTGGAGAGAAAAGGCACACTTTGGTATGTGACTGCTCTTTCTTAGCTTGAATACTGCAGTTCCCGAGGGCTTTTATGCCAGTAGGGGACAGTGGCGTGCAGCTGCATGTCAGCCAAGTCTAATCCAAGGAAGCTGGGGGATGAGAGCTCCCCAGATGG